AGCAAATGATAAAGTGAACAGATCTTAAGCAATATGTGAAATTTCATTTATTATTGCTATGCATTAATGAATCCTCTCGGAACTCTCAACTTTGCATATGGATATGCAAAATAAACAGATTCACAAAAAACTTAATTGGCAATCAATGTTAGTGTTAGAATTTGGGTGTGACCCGAATTTCTTGTTGAAATAATTGAAGTGCACATTATGAAGAATTCAAATTTGGAATATTNAAGTAATTGAAAAATTCTAATTGAAGTGCTCGGCATGAAGAATTCAAATTTAGAATATTATTATTTCTATGTCATGTTGAAATTCTATTTTGGAAGCTCATTGGGAGTTTGAATTTGTTTTGGACTCAATTTTATGGTATCCTACTTCATCAACAACTCTACTAGGTGGGTTTGGACATCCCCTACTTATTCCCTATACATATTAAACTCTTTTATACAATTTTATAATGCAAAAAAATAGATTACTAGAATTATAGGATCTATTGTAATTTTCTCTCTTCTCCATAAATCTCTTAATTTATCTGTCATATTCTTGTATTTATTATACTTTTGCTTGATCCTATACTTAATTATTATTACCATATAATTTCAATATCTCAATCCAGTGGTCTTTTTCACAACAATTGGTATCAGATCTATTTTGGTATCTTGATTGTTTTGCAACAATTGGTATCAGAGCCCCAGGTTTAGCAGTTTCGCAAAAGTGCAATGTTTGATTTGTTCGAGGTTTTTTATTCGTGATGACTTCCATGAAGTATGACATTCCGCTTTTGGATCGGAGCACTAGATTTTAGCTATCGCAGATTAAGATACGTGCGGTACTCGCACAACTTGATTTGGATGATGCGTTGTTGGGAATTGACAAGATGCCCACAACTTTGACCGTGGAGGAGAAATTACGGAAGGATGAGAAATCAGTTTCCCACATTCATCTTCATCTATCAAATACTATTTTTCGGGACCTTTTGAAGGAGAATTGAGTAGCTGCTTTATGTTGAGGTTAGAGCAATTGTGCATGACTAAAGTCTGACAAGCAAGTTGAACCTCAAGCAGCGTTTATACTCTCATCGAATGGCAGAAGGAGGATCATTGGAAGATCACATAGCTGTATTTAAGGAGATCGTCGCTGATTTGAAAACTTTGGAAGTAGAGTATGATGAAAAAGGTTTGGCCTTGATCCTATTGTGTTCGCTGCCCGCTTCGTTTTCTTCATTTAGAGACACGATTTTGTATAGTCGTGATACTCTTAATATAGAGGAAGTGTATGATGTTTGTATTCAAAAGAGAAGATGAATCATCTAGTTTCTGAGGCCAGAGATGGAGAATGACTGGTTGCTCAAGGTAGTTCTGGAAGGGGTATATCGAAATCTAAGTTCAGTAATCAAATTTGTAACTACTGCAAGAAGAAGGGGCACTTGAAGAAGGATTGCTACAAATTGCAGAATAAAGGAAAGGATGACTGCAAGTAGATATTCAGATACTTCAGGCGAAGCAGACCCCGTAGAGAACGTTGTAAGTGATGGAGAACTCTTAGTTATTTCTGACATTGAGTCTAAACCAGAAGATGATTGGATTCTTGATTCAGCATGTGTGTTTCATATGTGTCCTAATAAGGACTTATTTGCTACATATGAAACTGTTTCCAAAGGTGTCATGCTTATGGGAAACAACGCATCTTGTCGGATTGCTAGAATTGACACAGTCAGATTGAAGCTTTTGGATGAGATAATCAGAACACTTGACCAGATTCGACATGTTCCGATTTGAAGAAAAATCTCATCTCGTTGTCTATCCTTGATTCAAAAGGTTATGAGTTCTTTGGTGGAGGTGGAATTTTGAAGGTTTGTAAGGGTGCCCCAAGTTGTATTGGAAGGACAAAAAAGGTCTCGATTATACATCTTGTAGGGTCGTGTAGAATTTAGAAAAGTCAATGTCTCGGTTATACATCTTGCAGGGTCGTGCAGAATTTAGAAGAGTCAATCAGCACAAGTTCAGGACCGTGGTGGACATTCAGTTTGGTGCAATACCTTTAGGAGCTCATAAATGGTCGGATTTGAGGAATACAGTTTAGTGGAGTTCAGGAGATATGGATAATGCTGCTTTGCCACCATCACCTACGGTGCCATTGTATTCAATTGCTAGGGACATACCCAATGGAAAAGGGTATATAGATGCTGATTTTGTTGAGGATGCTTTAAGTGGAGTAGAATGTGTACAACCTAGTAAGGAGCCTTCTGTAAAAGCATTTGGTATTGATTCTGCTTTGGGATATGTTACAGCCCATTTTGGTAAATTATAAAATCATTATGATTTTTTGGAATCTGAGGTAATTCTGCAGAGCAGTGCTTGGATTCATTGGAAGAGATGGAGTATTTTGTNTTGAAGTAATTGAAAAATTCTAATTGAAGTGCACATCATGAAAAATTCTAATTTAGAATATTATTAGAGTCTCATGTCATGTTGAAATTCTATTTTGGAAACCCATTGAGAGTTGAAATTTGTTTTGAACTCAATTTTATGGTATCTTATTTCATCAACAACTCTACTACTTATTCTCTATAAATATTAGACTTTTCTATACAATTTTATAATGTGAGAAAATAGATTATTAGGATTATATGATCTAATGTAACTTTCTCTATTCTCCATTATTTTTGAGTCAATAAAATCTCTTAATTCCTCTATCACATTCTTGTCTTTATTATTCTTTTACTTGATCATATATTTCATTATTACTTGCCATATAATTTCAAAATCTCAATCCGGTGGTTTGTTTCACAACAATTGGTATCAGAACTATTATGCTATTTTGATTGTTTTTCAACAGTTAGGCAAGTCGACTACACCCCCACAAAAAAAAAAAAAAGAAATACTCGATAGCATTAAGAAAATTATTAATCAAGTCTCGATAGCATTTGGATACTTTTATGTCACGAAAAAGTTGTACCTTTCCGGTTAAAATGATAACTCTGATTGAGCTATCCTCTCTAGCATCATTGAATGCACGTATAAGATCCTTGATCGTTTGAGGCCGGAAAGCATTTCTTCTCTCTGGCCTGTTAATTGTTATCTGGGATCCAAAAAATATAAGAAAAAGCAGTAACTGATTGAGAGAGAAGTTCCAAGGTAAATATTAAATACAAAAACTGAGATTAATTACAAATATAATTTTTTTTTTATAACAAATCAAGTCTTATTTGGAATAGATTTGAAGTTGATTACACAAGAAAATCAACAACACACTAGGCATTTTCTATATAAATTTTAGACTCAGCCTCATAATACATTTTTACTATTCTGTCGTTGATTTGAAGTTGACTACATGAATCTCTAAAACTTTCTAACATTCTAATAAAATCGATCACTTTGCACCTGTATCATCGAAAATATGATAGATTGGCGATTCCAAATAAATTGGAGCTACCCCTCTTTCCACTATGATTCAAAAGTCCTAAAGACGCATTTTCACGTCCTTTGAAATCTTATTAAGCAGGTGTTTGGTGGAGATTAAAATTAGATTTTTAGTAAATTGTGATAGAAGTTCTTGAAATGTAGTTTAAAAGCTGTGGACATATGATTAATATTGGTTGTTTGACAATGACTTTGATTAAACAAATAGGGCCTAAATTAATGGACACTTTCTTTCTCCTTAAAAACATGTACAAAACTCGTCACTGTGATAGGATCACGACAACCCCGCCATTACCTACTTTGTTTGTGAATCATTAAAAAGCTATATTTCAACTTACGATGTTAGTCTACAACACAAAAAATGCACTATAATTGTGACATTTCAAAAGATATTTTTAAAGTGTACAACTTGCATTAGCTTATCTACAATATACTCTATTAGCAGCAACAAATCTTGACATTCAACATCAGTGGAGAAAATAAGGAAGGTGAGTGTTAAGAGAATAAATCAATGGGGGAAAGCAAGTAATCATTGAGACAAATTGATCAAGATGAAGGAAGGGGAGTGTTAAGAGAATAAATCAATGGAGGAAAGCAAGGAATCATTGTAACAAATTGATCAAGATGATTGATAATTATGATGAAGTTATTGAGCTTTGTAATATGTTAGTTTGTACAGGGTTACTTTAGTCTTTTATCATTTACTCTTTTTGTATATATATCAGAAGTCTGTAACTTCAATTTTAATTCGATAGAATTCAGCTGAGTATTACCAGCATTTCCCGCCTTTTCCCTCCTCTTCCATATCTCAATTTCTCTGCTCTAAACTTTACATGGTATCAGAGCAATAAATCCTTCCGCAATGGAAAATGAATCAGATCCTCAAACTGAGAATCAGTACCAGATTAATCAGGCGGATTCACC